AATAACACTGCTCCCCAAGCAAGATTCCACCCTTTTTATTCCTTTAATAAGCTACCTTCTGCTTGAAATCTTATTCTGCCTTCTCTGATCAGGTAAACGATAAGGCAAAGGAGTTTACTGTGAAATTACATGCCAATAGTTTTATGGACATCCTATTATACTGAAGTTAAGTCAAGAAGAATATGCAAGCTGTCCTTCTAATTGGATTAAAGCAAAAACAAAAGCACATAATAATCGTATTAACTGCATCACATTTGACTAAATTACATGTACAAAAAAAGCGTGCACGTAGATAAAATACACTATAAAGTCAAACCAATTCTCCTTTGGAATGTTAATGTTATTCTTTACTTCAAAGCAATACTTCTCAAGCCTACATACTTAATATTCCTTTGATAATAGAAAGTGTTTCAATGTGAATTAAACTAGGGCTATTATTATTTTACTGTCCTGAAAACAATCATAAGAATACTAACACACAGTCTGTCTTCATATACAACCATCCTTCAAGGTTACATGCCTGAAAAGTTAAGAAATATGCATACTAAAAATAAAACTTTGGGTCAATACTACAAAAAAAGAAGCAATAACATTTGACATAACCCACTGCCATCCAGTCATCATAGAATAGGGAGAACTGTCTCAAAGGATTTCAAAGGTTATATACGTCAATAGAGAAGCAGCGAGCCTCATCTATCACCCAAAAAATGGCTACTGAGTTCAGGTTTTTAGTTCATAGAGTTGCTATGAGTCATGCTCAACTCAAAGGCACTTAATAACATCATCATCATCTTGGGGACAGGATCTCTCTCATTCAGCCTATATATTTCAGGCACTGGTGTCACAGGAAATGTGATGAATGTACCTGAAAGAAACTACTAGCTAACATTTCTAAAATTTAAACTAGAGAACTCTTGAACAAAATCAGGTGAGAAACTTTATCACTTTTTGAAACAATAAACGTGTAAGAGTCAGAAAGCCAAAAGAGCTTTCTAATGTGTGCTCAAAGGATTACAAACTACACGTTCCTGTGTATCATAAAGTCAGAATCAATTCATAGGTGACCCTCCAGAAAGCTTTCAGACGCAGTATATCACATGGAATATGGTCCATTTTTCTGTCATGGAGAAAGACGGATTCAAACCACATGTCAGTTCAACAACTATTAAGCCACCAGAGCTCCCAAGCTCCAGAGCTTACATAGTAAATAGCAAATTCTTTCAAACTTAGCGCTCTTTCCTACTGCTTCCATTTTCCACCTGTCCATTTTGCTTCTCTCTGTTCCCTCTGTGTCCTTGTCATGCTTCCTCACAGTTGATGTTTTCAGAAAGTGCTTCTCACTCACTCACTGTGGAAGAGTTGGCAGTATGTGGTCCATGCAGACTATCATCTAACAAGTGTCCAATAAATGGCTTCTTTTGTTCTGCCAACTACATGGAACAGGGTGGGTGAAGATGACTAAGCTCTTTGCTTTTGTCCTAGCTCTTATTTCACTGGCCATGTGACCCACATTTATACTATCTTCCCAAATAACTCACTTGTATTTTCTACATAACGTTAACACCTAAATAACAAACTTCCAAGTTCATACACATTACGACTGAGCCAGACCTCATCCATGGATGACCCTCCAGCAAGTTTTTAGAGGCTGTGGAGCTCTGGTGGCCTAGTGGGTAAGGAGGTGTGCTGCCAATCCAAAGGAATGCTGTTTGAATCCATTAGCTGAGCCATGAGAAAAAGATGAGCATCTCCTCAGGTGTGATCTGCAGCCTCTGAAAATCCACTGGATGGTAAGCTATGAGTCCGCTTCTATGGCGATGAGCTGAAGGGAAATCAAATGGGAAGAGAATGCCAATCTTTCTCTTGCCAGAGAGTTGCCATCTCTGTGTTAGCAGCACAATTCCTTATGAGCTAGGCCACCAGAACTCCCCTTGAATGTGTTCTTGTGGTGAAATCGCTATTAAGTTGGTTCTGTGACTCCGATGTGAGCAGAACTGTGTTCCACACTGGAAAACCACAGGGTTTACAATGGTCGATTTTTAGAAGCTAGCCATAAGGGTTTTCTTTGCAGGTGCCTCTGTGTCTGAACCTCCAGTCTTTCAGACAGCAGCTAAGCACAGGTTATTATCCTGCTATCACCCGGGGACTCCAAGATTCTTCAAGGAAATCTGAAATAAAGAGCATGGAACCTCTGGCTTTCTTAGCTGTACACTGACCCTCTCTGCCATTCCTAGTCTGAAAAGCAGGGAGATATCTGCTACTCTGAAGGACGTCCAGTCCGCTTCATCTTGTTGCTGCCTGAGGTAATAAAGTGTCCCGAAACATATGACAGACACATGATTTGAAAAATTCCTGTCGAGATCTACCAGCCAATATGTATTCACAACATCTTGTATATAAATGACTCTCAAATCCCTATTTCTAAATATAACCCTCACTCATCCACAATCTTTGGGGGGAGAGGGAGAGAAGTCTCAGTGAGATCTTTACTGTGACTATGCCAGTCAAGCTTTTACAACTTTTCTTAAGAAACTGAAGAACTGCTAGGAAAAAATGTAAAGGGACTGGGGAAGCGGAAGGAGTGTTCCTTATATATCATTCACAAGAGTTGACGATTTTCCTTTTGCAATATTTATTCAGGTCTCTTCCTCAGAGCCTTGGCTCAGGTCTCAACTAGCTTAAGACTGAACTCCAGTTTTCCTTCTGCCTTAACACTTTTGGCATTCTAAAACATGCTCCACATGGCACAATCCATCTTTGGATGTCCTAGACATGATATATCTATGTACAAGAGTATTACATTTTCTGTACTTTCCCTAAATGCCCTTATCACTTATCCTCAGTTCTGCCACATGTCATTTGGGCTCCTTGCCCCTCTCTTTGCACTTAAATCACTCCTTCCATATAATATCCCTCTTGGCAACCCCTGAGACAACAGAAATCCACTCTCCATTCAGTAGTACTCCCGTCCCAAACCTTCTAAGTATTTCTACCCAACCTAAAACAGGTTAATAACATTCAACCTAAAACAATAACAACCTAAAGCAGAGGGTGTGTGTGTGTGTGTGTGTGTGTGTGTGTGTGTGTGTGTGGTGCATGAATATGCATGCACTATAATACTGGTGAAAATAAAGTGTATCCGTTGCAATCAGACCCAGTTTGAATCTACCTTGTTTCTAAAATTTAGGGCACATTAAATTTCTATGCAATTGCATTAGCTTCTTGAGCAATGTTATCCTAGACTGTTTATTTGCTTCTCAGTATTGTTCTGTAAATGACCAATTTGCATTCTGAGGAAGATGCTGTTGCAGAAGACAATCTCCATTCTTGTAAGAAGGCTTTGAGAAACTAGAGTGACCCACTCACCTAAAATATATGTTCCATAATGTCAATCACATGGAAGACTTGTACTAATATCACATAGTTCCCCATTTTTATGTAAACAGTAAGCAACTGAAAGTTACATGTAAAATAAAACGTCACTACTTACAATAAAAATTCTTGACACTTATTGTTACTTTATTTTGGCTTCTAGAATTTTCTAACTTCCTAAAACACAAATTCTCAGCTTGTTTAGTCAATTTGACTCTTTGCAGGTGGAGATTTGCCTTCTCTTTATCCCACAGAAAAGATGAGTGATTCGAACTTCTGACTGTGGGTTGGAAGCCCAACATAACGTCACCAATGCCTAACTTCCTAGACTACTGACTTCTCCCTGGGGCTTTTCCCTAATATTCCTGTACTTAATGTCACATTTCACAACCCTCAAAACTTAGCAAACTCTGTTCCAAAGTAAAGTAAGTAATTCATGATTATTCAAGTGATAATCTTAAAGCAAGTTAATAACAATGTCTAGTCAGTCTCCAAGGGAGCTCTAGTGGTAAGAAACTGTGCTGCAATCCCAAAGGTAGCGGTTCAAAGCCACTCGCTGCTCTCAGGGAAAGATGGGGCAATCTTCCCCCGTGTGATTTACTGCCTCTGATAACCCTCTAGAGAGTCAGTTACGAGTCGGTTCGAAGTCAGTCGCCAGCCCCCTAAGAGACTTCTACACTCACCATTTGTGTACACTTAGGCAGGCGCCATTACGCCCCTCTTTCTTACTCTTATCATCCTCTTCCATATTACATCCTTCTGGAGGCTACTGGGACAACCCAGAAGTCAAACTTGCGTTTGCAATAATGGCAGGCCACTTGGTCTACTCTCGAGGTGGCTGGTCCAGGATAACAACCCTTTTGGCAACCTGTCTTTGGTGGCCACTGGCCAGAGTTGCACATCCTCAAGATGATGGGCACAGGCAGCCTAGGGGTACATCCATCAGCCCCGCGCATTTAAGTGTACACGCTCCCACTATTAAGCGCCCAGAGGATGAAAAGTAGGAAGGCTACAACTTCGTATTGTTAGAAAAAAATGTTATCATGTTTATATAGAGGCGGCATTAAAAGACGACGAGGAGGAGGGTTCTTTGAGGTCTGGCCAGTTGCTTTCACAGCTGGCAGGGCCAATCAGCCTCTCTTAAAAACTTAGCTGACAGGTGAGAAATTCCTTTTCTCCAGACCATTCCAGGAACTTTCTCAGCATCTAGGAGAACTGAGAGGGAACTCAAGGGGGAGGGGGCGGTGCCGAAGCGGTGCTGAGCGTGTCCCGGGGGAAATTCTGGCGGGAGTGGAATTCGGGTGCCTGAAACAGGCTGGTCCAAAGGGAAGATAGTTGCGGGTCTTTGGAAAAGGAGAAGCGCACAGAGATAATGGCAAAATATCAGGATGGGAGTTGAGAGAGCAGACGGGAGAGAAATCCGGGAATAAAGCGAAATGTGAAAGAGGGAAGGCAGTGGCCGGGATGTACGGGTCCCACCGAGGCCGGCGTCCGAGCTGGCTGAGCCCAGTGAGGCTGGCTCCCGCCTGCGCCCCCGGAGCCGGAAAGTTGGCGCGGCGAGGGGCGGCCCGCGGCAGCGCCCCCTGTGCGGCCGGAGGCGCCGGTCCCCGAGCCGCGCGGCGCCTTACCTTCTGGTCGACGATGGAACAAGCCATCTCGCGGACCTGAGCCAGGCTGTAGTCGCCGCACGCGTCCTGCAGCAGCAGCACTGGCTCGCGGCTCAGGCCGATCTGCAGATGGAACGAGATGCCCCCGACAGCGGCGGGCGCCAGGAAAGGCGCGGGTCCCGGCCCCGACCCCGGGAC